TCTCTCTACATATGTATTGTATCGGTCTGCAATTTTGCTAAGCATGTCAATAAAACTCGAATAGTTGGGTTATCCACGGGTAAACCCGGAATGATAGGGTTTCAAGGTCGAGTTCATGCAAAATTATGCTACCCGGACTCCAGGTCGGGACATGTTCAGGTATGGTAAAAGAACACTTTGCTCTACCCGATTATCCTACATGTTTACCCGCAAGCATTGAATTAGTTATATATAATAATTATTTATTATAATTTTGGTTGATGGTTTAAAATTTTATTTTTGTTATTTTTTTTTATCAATTTTTATTGCATTTGTGCAATATAAAATTAAATATTTAATTTTTAAATGTTATATTATTAATTAGACTATAAAAAATAAATAATTATAGCTCAATATTTATTTGGCTGCAAAAACTGGAAAGTTCAACGGGCTCGCATTTTACTATGAGCCCAACTAGATAATAACTACTGCGTGGTGAAAGCATATTTTTGGGCCTTAGTTAGCCCAACTTCTATGAGATAAAATACAAAACAAATGGCTACATAATTTCATTTCTGGAAAAAGAAAAAAACAAAGGAACTACCCATGGAAAATGAATTATTCAAGCCGGATAGGAATGGAATAAAATACGATATATACCAATTATCAATAAATTTTTAAGTATTCTATGTTATATTGGCTATTAATAACATTACTATTTTATCGTGTCGTGTTCATATTTCACTTATTTTGTGTTATTTATTTTATTTGATAATAAAAATATGACAATAAATCCAAATTTAACTATTATTAATACTATTCTTGTCCTGATTCATGCCGTACAGTATCATTTCGTGGTCGTCGTGTAGTTTATCTCTTTAATCGTGTTTATGTTATATGTCATGTCTGTCATTAACCATCCTCGAACATTTGTGTTTTTTTTTGTTTTTTTGTTTTTTTTTTTGNNNNTTTTTTTGGGTACAATTTTTTTGGGATTTTTAATGGGATAAAATATGTTGTGTGTCTCATGTGGAAAGATTTCATTTTAGTTTACAACTTGTTCTAAAATCACATTCCATTGAACACAAATGCTTAACGTGTGATTGTCAAAGGCCACACAAACATAAATAAACCCCAATAAGCCAAAAAAA